CAGCGGTATTGTATCTTGATGCCCTAGGCAAGAACTCTCCACGAACACTATCCCACCAAGACTGTCTTAAAGAGATCTTGCAAGGCTATCCAGACTCAAATATACGGCAATCAATGAACGATGATGCCTTCTTCAAAGGTCTACATTCTTACCTTCAAGGTGTGGTTGCCACCCGTATTCAACATGTCTCAAGATGGATCAGGGCCAATACCGAGCGCTTTGAGAGAAGAGTAGAAGTCACTACATTGCTCAGAATGTTTGAAGCTTATTCCAAAGACCTTCATGCCAACATCACCCTATGTGGATCTCAATGCTCCTCTTGTGAGCTGCTCTGTATCGAACATGGTGACCATGATGGGGTGCATGATTGTGGCACATTGCATAAATGCATATATACTTGTAGCATCACAAGTGAACATGAAGAAGGAGCCCAAATACCGGAATGTACTATCCCGTCAGTTTATTTACGCTATCTCAAGTTTGTTATAATTGATCTCTAAATTATAGAGCTGGACATGAAGGGCATCATTTGTACGCTTCTTGTTGAACCCCGAATTCTTGCTTACAACAAGTAGCTGCTCTGTAAATCTACATGTTTGTGGGGTTCCATGTCACTTGAACGATAAGGATGGTTGTCTAAAATCCTGCAAGAAGGTATGCTTAGCCCATCATTTCTATTCCCGTATTTACCATATCCTTACAGCCTCTAGAGCATGATGACGGTGAGCACTTGTGTGCAGCCAGAATTCATAGATGTGGGCAGCCTTGCAGTCTCATTCAATCAGATGGAACACGTATCTGCTCAAGATACTGTGTAATGGACTGGTAAGCCACTCATAGTGAGAAATACGTCTTTTTATAATGTCGATAGCCGTTTGGAGCATACCCTCCATCAATGCGACCATTCTTTTGGATGTCCTATCCGATGTCAGCTTTGCAGGTCTCCCTGCCAAGTGAAAGACCACTTCCATGCTCTTGAACAGAATGCAATTCATCTTTGTGGGTACGTGTAGAATCATCTGATCTAAGGCTACCATTAACACCGCCATAGGCAAACCCACAGTTGCTATAGCTCATGTGAGCTTGGCATTTGTGAAATTTTGACCGCACCTAGTTCAATGAAGTCCACGTACGTAAGCAAGCGTGAAAGATATGACTATACGATGGTGAGGCCTGATTTTTGGCCCGGGATCCCAACTCAACACACTTAAATAGTCCATTCAACTATCCAACCCACTACCGTGTGCGATTCCCATCAAACCAAATGAACTCCAACACAGTGGACCTCATTCTCATTCTGAAGACCCTCAAGCATTTCACTACTGTGAGGCACGCTGCAAGTATTGCGAGTACTTCTGTACACTTCCATTAGGTATTGGTCTATATTTGATCCCTAATCCTACTCACCATTTGCCCTAGGACATTCACAACAAGAACACGAGACATCCCATGGCTCTATGTTGCGAGCCGAATGGATAGTTGATGGGGATGATAATGCATTCTATGAACTCGAGGGTCATAAATACGTCACCGGAGATAGTGGTGCACCTTGGTTATGCTCATTATTTTGCATCAAAATGGACAGACATGTCCATATAGATACCTGTCGTGCAACCGACCCAAATCAATGTAATGGGAGCGATATCGAGCACATACAGGGACCAATTCGGTCGCAATATATGGACTGGATTACTCATAAAGAATTCTGGAGACGAAGTGGTAAGTTTCATCTTTTTCTTGGAGCTTAAATGACGGTGCTATCATAGGATTTAAAGGTATGGTGAAAATCCTCTATTTAATTATCTTAACAGCTCTTAGACCCGTATGACCCTGGGAGGCAGGAGTATTTTGCTCGTTGGTATGTCATTACAGGTTCAATCATTATGTTACTAAATACATCTCACTAGCGACTCCCAATGCAAGGGTTAGTGGTCCATTTAGCTTATGGCCTCCATTTAATGTCTGCAGGATCTGAGCATGATCCACTTGCGAATTCAAATGCCGTTCCATCTTTTTGCACTTTACCGATGTTCCATAAAACACCCATCGTCAACGTTCCTAGGTCTGGGCATAAATCAAAGGATGGTCATGTATATAACTGCAAAGACCCCGCAGATATGCATCCTTCCTATCATATGTAAGCTCTAATTTGATCCAGATATGAATCTAATATCCATTGCGGTATATAGCATTTTTGCCATTGACTGGTCAGCATTACTATTTATCGGAGTTGAGGCATAACCATCGGTTAACATTTCATCAGCTCCTATTCAATGACTGAGAGAGATCTTCCCGTATTATCAAACCTACCGGTTACCAATAAAATTAAAGAGCAGGAGAACAACCGATTGGGAGCCGTAGTGTCTTCTCTATATAAGTTCTGGACTGCCAGACAGGCATCCTTCCGAGCTGGGGCCACTAGAGGCATGTTAGCAGACTCGTACAGCATCGTTGCATTCGAATCAGAAGCACAGGTGAGTCTCCCCGTCAAAACCGGTCAAAGTAGTAACCTTCGTGCAGGTTATACTGTCCAACGACACGATTAGTAGCCCAGATGACCTTGTCGAACATGTTTTGAAGAACAGACCTCCTTACGGGGGAACAGATTATACCAAGGCATTAAAGACCATCCAGGATCACATGGAGCAATCGTGGTCACCAACGCGGTCAGTATATACATTAATCACAGTACTATTGTCTCATTATTCTATATAGCTTCCCAGTGATAGTGTTCTTGTCCGATGGAGAGTGCAACGTGTCTGATTCCGTCATTGACCAGCTCTGTAGGACTGCTATGGAACTAGGGTGATTACGTTCTCCTGAGCTATAACAAACCTAATCCACTTATAAAGAAAACCTCTTTCATTTCACTCCGTATCATTTGGAATGGAGGCCTACTCAACATCGTTGCGACAGATGGCCTCCATAGCAGACAGCATTTACCAATCGGCTTTACAGAAGGGACTTAATGCTGCAGGTGGGGACCAGTGTAAATATACACGAGCTATGGATACCGTATGTTTCATCTTTATGCCTATACTGAATCTGACCTCTTCTAGATACAATTGGCGGACACTTTCATGGATATCGCAAAATCATTAAATAAGCCTAGAGCCACTCTATCACGGGCTCGGAACCTGTAAACTGTCTATAACTTTAGGATGTAATAAAAGAGTTTGCCTTCATATGTTAGCAGTTAATCGAGAGTGGTGAAAAGTGGCGAACGCCTTGGGGTCCTTAGACCTTAGACTTGACCCTTCTGAGCTTCCTTCGTGAAGCGGGCAGACAACCAATATTCTCGCATGATCTTTTACCTTCTATCTCGTATAATATGGTAACGTCCATTCTATCGTTCCCAGACCTGTCTTCATGGGCTGACGTTTTGCTTTTGTTCAACCTGTTCAGCTCGACAGCCGCATTTCTATATCCTGGATATAAATCATACAAGGCATTGTCAAAGCGTAACGTAGACGAAGTGGAATTAGAAAGGTGGCTCATGTATTGGAGTGTCATGGGGTTCATTTCTGCATTCGGTCAGCTTCACAACACACCTGCTAGCAAAGGAGACCCACTCATACCTCCTATCTTAGAATACGTAGCTGAATGGCTCATTAGTTGGTATGTTACAGCGGAGGACTTCTCGCAATCGTGTTCAAACCTTTCGAGCGCTAATATCCGTTCAATCTTTCTCTAGGATACCCTTTTATTACTTCTTTAAAACATTATTCCTCTTGTTTTTGGCCCTCCCCCAAACCCAAGGTTCTACTTTCGTCTACTCGATGCACTTAGCGCCGCTTCTACGAGGGCATGAGGACCAAATCGACTCCGCTCTAACTCAAGTCAAACTTGCTGTCTATGAATTTGTGCAAGAGAGATTGCGGCTCGTATGGAGTACAGTAGTTGGAGGGGCCCCTCCATCAGCTACTGCCACAAGCGCGACGTTAACTACAAACGTGGCCGCAGTAAACCCTCCTTCAATGAATGATCCTTTGTCTGGGGCGGCTCAAA